GGCCTCTCCAGGGGCGGGTGTGGATAGAAGGAAGGAAGCCAGGTGCCCAAGCAGCTGGCTTTGTGAGACTGATCTTTGTCTGGCCTCTACCCGTTGACCTTTCAGGCATGATTGTATTTACGGCTGTGAGGAGCCATCCTGTGTAGCTCGCAGGGTCATTGAGGCACGCAAGCCATCACACCACGTCAAAGTGCAGTTTCTTCGTGATGGAGAAAGGATAGTAATAAATCTACAACAGTTGTTTCACTAACGCAGTCTTTTGGGGTCATCAGCACGGATGAGTCGGGGGTTTCCACACCTTGCTGCTGATTCCATCCCCTTTGTATGTAGCGTCAACCAGGCTTTTCGGTTGTTTCTCGAACTCTTTGTGAGTTCATGCTTCAGAGCGAGGCACTGTTCATTATAGTCGCGGTCTACCGGGATTGCCTGATGCGCATCAAGAATTCTGAGAGAGTTGGAGGAGACCCAGTGCTTTATAACTCGGCGGGTTAAGCCACAACTGTGTAAACTGGCTGAGTGCATTGTGAGGGAGGTGCTGCTGATGGCGTGGGGAGGAGGCCGATGTGGGACGTGCATCTGTCATTTATTTCTGAGGATAAATGACCTCCAAAACTGAATAATGGTCATGTATCTTTCATCCATCACAATATCACGGGATCCTCCAATCTCGCCGTTGCTTGTAACATAAAGCGTTGAAATGCTACCATCAATGGCCAAAACACCAAACCGAATATAATATATCGTTCAGTTCAGTTCACCTTTAAGAAAATAATGTGGACCGGCAATGTTGGAAGCCAAAGGCTGTCGCGAAAATGCAAGAAACTGCATTTACCAGAGACCCGGCGTCGAGACGTCTCTTATCTTACAGATTGGTTGTTTTGAGACGCAGAAGAGCATGTCACCAGTGCAAGAGGATGTACTAGGTTTATCTCTTGCCATGGGTTCTTCACACAAAACACCACATGTATCTCATGACATTGCTGTGACGTTGCGAATGTTGCCCGCAACTGAATACTACCGTTGCCCCCTTGTCGAGTTCCATCCACTCGACAAGTTTTTCCAAAAGAGGCGAATGAACTAATCGAACGCTAACCAGCTCACCTGGAACAATGCCGCTGCCTTGTAGCTCCTGCTTGGTTGCGCAAATAATAGAGTGCACACTCGAACAAGGCCCACTCTGGGCTGGACTACCAAGTACAAACACCCGCAACGCACAAGGAAGGAAATATTAAATACGAAGTGTATCGTCCGCGCAATGCTAAGCTGACGATAAGTCGTGTGTAATCCCCTTTTCGGCAATCCAAGTTGAAAGCGGTATACTGCGGGGTGATCTTTTTCGTCTCGGCTTATTATGTCATCGTGATAATCTCACAACTCGAGTTTCCATCTTTGAATTTCGTCATTATTCATTTTGCTCGTATGCTTGCCATCGAAGATACAGGCTTCCGAGAGTCGATCCACGAAAGTTTTGAGTGTCTATCCCGACAGTAGTGTCGCTACTGGAAAATTGCTTCTATGATTACAGAGCGTCGTCAACGATGTAGCGGTGTCATTTGTCATGGATCAGGGTGCATATAGGAGTATCAGGGCGATTGTTTAGAGTAAACGATGCGACAACAACTACGTAGGTTGCGTCTTTTTCCACCGCCGAAGACTCCTTTTGTTATACAATAATGAGCATGATATGTTTCAAATACTATTCCAGTCGCTTGAATGCGTTTCTTACGGTAATAGAGCGGATAGGTTTAAGTGAACAAATGGATTAATTTTGTCTAAAACCGGCTGTATCCACTGAGACTTAAGCAAAATGACCGATTACTCGGCGCAGAAACTTATCTGTGGAAGGGGGGAATTTTATGCAAGGGTCTCATTCGATTTCGCTGTGGTGGTTTTTTTTTATTACACACCTAGGTGTGATGAACAACAGACGGGGTAAACCCATAGTCACGAGGACCTGCTGTTCAGTGGTTGAAATTCGCAACCTAAGCCCCGGAATTCGGAGTGGCGAACCACATAAGGCCCCGATAGGTTAGGCGTGGTATTGAACCGGACGACAGCAGAGCTGCCTACCACCAAAGTCGGGTGGCGGTGGCGGGGCTCGGACCACAGGGTCCAAAGCACGTCGGTGACAGCGACTGAACCACTGCGCCACCACCACCCGGCAAATTTGCTGTCATCTGGTTCAATACCCCGCATAACCGATCGGGGCCTTATGTGGTTTGGCACTCCAAGTCCCGGAGCTTAGGTTACCGGTTTCCATCATGGAGCAGCAGGTCTTCGTGACTATGGGGTTTACCTCGTCTGCTGTTCATCAGATTATAGTGTGTAATAAAAATCCTTGGAAATATAGGATAACGGAGGAACCCAATTTCTTCGTCGGCAGTAACAGTTTTTTCTTCATTCAGACGATGTCATATTTGGCGACAACGTTAGAGAGACGCCTGAGATTTAGAATATGGCTACCTGCCGTTAAAACACACGACTCCGTTTTCCGTATGCGCGAGCGTGTTTTTCAAGCCCACTGCCTTAGATGTTTTGTTAATAGTGCGCCTAAAACTAGCTACACCATTGAAAACCCCAAACGGTATGCAGACGACAGAACTTAAAGAAATTACTACGCTTCGAAATCGGTGTAAGACTGAACGCGCTCTATAACGGGAATCCTCTGAGATGCGTCTTTCGATTCCAGAGTACTGCATACACCAAAGTGTGTGACGTTATCCACCATGGTCGGTTAGTTACTTATTTATTTGAACACGTAACCAATCACATAGAACTGACAAATGTACCTCAATATATGAAGAAAAATTCTGTAAAATGCGTTAATAGGTTGTGTGGGCATGTCACTTCCCGGTTACCGTGACCGAGGACGGAGGGTAACTTCGGGGTCCCCATCCGAAGCCTTTGGCTTAAAAGCCAGACCGGCAAGACAACAAGATGGAGCTCAGAGTCTGAAGTTCATTGGAGGCCGGTGTCCAGTTTATCAGGGGTCAAACGCCCAGGTGCCCAATAAACCTTGATACCCAATTGAGCCGATGGTCACTGCCACAACCAGGAAGGTGTGTGTGTGGTTCGTACACCTCTTCTTGGTTGGTTTAGAATCAACTCTCCTTGATTGACTGCCACTGGTTTACCAACCCGGTTATAGCCCCTGATGTTGTTTTTTCGTCTTTTCACTTTGGTAGGAAAACACCGCTACGGACAGGCAGTTAGCAGGGCTTTCTCAGCAGAAACTGTTTGAGACACTTCGTCTTATAAGAGCATTTTGCGAGATGTAAGGGAAGAGTGACCAGTCACAACCCGACCATACTAAGGCGTTCGATGCGTGGTAATGGATATGCATCGACTTGTGAAAAAGTTGACTCTCTGACTGTAGTCAACAGTTATGGTTGGCGTTTCCCCTGACGGATATTTAAGATCGCCAAGGAAATTTTGATCCTTTAATAATGTTTTCATCTAAAAGACGTTACAATTCAGACTTGATGAATTCTTCATCGTCAGCCGGACGTCTCCTAGATTTCGTAGCAACTGGTTTACGATGAGAACAAAGCTGGACTAGTAGTGCAGATGATTTGATTTTCTGTTGTCTATCGTTAAGTGTTGTCCAACGCCTTGCATCTAAAGATATTCGTTGACAGGGTGTTATGAAGTGAGTCAATGAATATTAGTTTTCTGTGTCGTCCGGTTGAATACGTTTCAAAAAGGTGTTAAATGTGCATAACCAGTAATTCCAGTGTTTCGAGTGTCGTTCAAATTAATATCGATTTTGTCCGTTCCAAGTTAACGGTTCATTATTAGACTAGTAAATTGAAGCATGAACCGGTGCTGTATCAAACGAATTTGAGGGAAATTCGTGGTTAGAACCGCGTGATTTACTCCTCATAATCGTACTACATCCGCTGAGATGGAAAAATAAACTGTTTAGAACATGCGATAAGATAATGTACATAAATGGGAAAATAAAAGTGACACGAATTGCTTCTTATAGCTCAATACAAAATGGGGAAAGAATGATCGAAGTGATTCATTGGCTCAAAAATAGGTTTCATGTTTTGCTTACGATATCACACTTATTTAAACGGACCTACTTTTTTTTACTAAATAACGTCTATGTTTTCTCCCGTAGCTTTCGCGGATTTTTCAATAAGCCTTTGTAATAAATAATTTGCAAAATGGTAGAGGTTTTTCAGCCTCCGCCATTTAAACCAGACCACCCATTTCGATGGACCTCAGATCTGGAAAATGTACCGATTGTTATTGACAATGGTAAATTCCGAGTTCATCTTTTAATCGAAATTTATATTCCGAAAAACCAAGGAGCTTTTGAATGTCGTGTGGGCTATGCGTCTCATCCCGAACCGTACATGACATTTCGCAATGTGATCTACAGGCCGCGAATGACGAAGGTAATTGTTTTCACCCCACACTTAGCTTACAATTCCCTTGAATGCAGACTGTTTTGGTTGGAAATGATATTGAAGATGTGGATGGTGTGCGCCATTTGTTGAAGTCGCCTTTTTTGGAGTATCTGCTCACAGGAATGGATATACAGGAACACATTTTTGATCACGTGTTTGAACGTTTGGGGATCCGGTCAGAAAGTGTATCACAGCCGGTGGTCATGAATGAGGTTTTGTGCAACCCGGGAGTTTGCCGGGCGCGTAAGTGTGTTTCATATTACTGTTCACTTTTGCCTTTAGAGCTGAACGAACTGCTGTTTGAAACGTATGGCGTTCCCAAACTTGCCTATTATGTAGATGGTTTGGCCTCATTCTATGATTATTGCTGTCGTCATGAGCAAACAGGTAGGAAAATCGTGTTTTGTTCACAGTTTTATTGTTTACTGTGCATGAGTAAGAATTCACTAGAGTGTCTTGCTCCAATTCTCGTTCGGCATTCATTACAAATATCTGAATCAAATCGGTGGCCTCTATGTGGCTCTATCACCCGAGCTCTTACAGGATGACCTGTCGAGCGCAATTTTGCAATGCATTCCTGTGCATAAGTGACTCCCATTGTTATGGATAAAACTGCTTTCATTTGGTTATGCTAAAACAGTTTATTGGGCCACGCAGCTTCTTGAGAAGCGTGGATGCCACCGGTTAGATTCCGGCTTTCAGGTGGACTTTTAAACCTGGGTGTTTTCTCGGTTCTTTTCAGCGAATGAGATTTTCATTTGGGTGAAAACACTAGGCACTTTATACTGTTCATTTTCGACCCACTCGCCGTGCGATTGGTTCCATGACCAGTCGAAGGCTTTCGGCCGATTATTGCTATGTACTTCAAGATCTTTCTCAGGCGTACCGATCGCAGTTCAGAAATGCGTGAATCATTTGGTCATTCTGTCCAGGAATATACCCTGGCTAATGCTTTGTGCACTAAGACTCTAAATCGAGTCCACATAACCCTCCCAAATAATGATCGGAGATTGTGTTCATGCATACCCTCAGACATATTGCAAACTTCATCTACGCTCTTATTCCATCCGAATTCGCCCCTTTTGCTTTATTTCAGTTATGCTTTTTTATTACACATCTAAGTGTGATAAACAGCAGACGGGGCGAACCCCATAGTCACGAGGACCTGCTGTTCAGTGATGCTAACCGGCAACCTAAGCCCCGGGACTTGGAGTGGCGAACCATATAAGGCCCCTATAGGACTATTTTCACTGCACGGCGCAATAGGATAGTTAATAACCCTAGCTTAGGATGGTAAGCTACGCAATAGCACAGCAGAGCCGTCATGAAAACAGCTAGAACAGGAGCACTACACACAATGGTCGCGATTGCGCAAACCGAACCAAACCGAATCACTTCTTCCCATATCTGTTTCAGACAATGGCAACTGTTTGATAATCTCGCTCGGCTATCACAGCACTCATTTCATCCCGTCGCTACCCACGTGCAAGTCGCGTGCAGAGCCATTTCACTGTTTCGGTTTCGAACCACTGCTTAGTGCGGCTCGTCGAGTGCATGTGGGTGGTGCTCATGTGAACTGGATGCTACAACGACTCCTTCAGCTCAAATACCCATGCCATTCGGAGCGCATTTCTTTTGGATTAACCGAAGTGAGTACCGCGCCGAGCCGCATACTTGTCTTGTTCGTCCCCCATTCCCCCCATTGTGTGTGTGTGTCTGTGCGTGCGTGCGTGCGTGCGAACGCTCCAAATTGGATTTCAGTATGCTGTGATATCATGCCATAGACCGTGATTTTACTCTTATTGATCGGGTTCAGTATAAAGTCATACGATCTTATTAACGACCTGTCCCTGAAGTGTAACTTGCAGTCGCTAGCTTGAACAGCCTAACGGAACCTATGAGACTGGATCACATAGGCCCTATTAGGCTCCCTGGCTTTGGACACCGAGATCATTGTCACCGATGGTTGGAGACACTGGCGATATGGCTGGGTGTCGCAAACAACGGCGCTCATGCGCCTACTCATTATTCTTGTGAAACCAGTCTATATGAATTCGCTATCTTCCGCTTGAATTTTCTCTCAGCATTTCAATCTTCATTCTGCTGTTTTAGTCAAGTGGGCGGCCAAAAGACAGCAATCAAACCGGCACACGAAAGTGCATGATTAATGGTTGTAAAAGCTGAAACTGAAACTGAAACAGTTGCCTTCCTATGCCTATTCGGCCGGTACTGTTTTGATTTTCATGCAATCCGGCGTATCTTTTCCGTCTCTTCCCAGTTTGTTCTTCCTCGTAATCTGTTAATCACTCATTCCAAGTAACAGTCATCAGGTATCGCATTTCAAACTTTCAATAATCTTTTCCTAACAATAACATTTGTCGAACACTATTACCTTTTCGTTCTTCCCTCCAACTTAAACCATCCTTAAATTTTAACATTGAATCAACAAGCTGGTTCTAGTTTGAATGTTCCCTTTCTTTTATGTACACGATAACGGTGGGTTATAGGGATTAGCCATTTCACCGCATTGACTTATGCTTAATGTAAATGTCTATTTCCTTCTTTCTCTTTACTCCCATATCTGCGTATATTTCTGTCTACCGCTGTGCAGACTAACAAATTGTTCCAGATCACGTTTCAGTCCCTTGCCATAACCGGATTATTTCTTGTTTTCTTTCTGTGCCATTCTCCCAATGTTTTTTTCATAGTGCATAACGTTTTCATTTCATTTTACAGCATTTACTACACTCTTACGGTCACATCACTTCCAACTATCGGGAATGTATGCTGAAATGGCGTGACGACAACTATCGCTTGTCTAGTACTCGAACAATTCAATTGCCCTTCGTACAGGTCAGTTTGTATTCACGCTGGAATCTAACCGCAGAGCTGTTGTTGAATTCCATTTTGCTGTCAGTCATTCGTTTAATCTCAGGATGTTATACATTCTTGCGGAAAAAACTGCAGTTATTTAATAAAATAGCAAACTGCTTCATATATCAAATGGTATATATCAATGTGGTAGCCACGTTCCGAACTGTAGTACTGCTGTCTTTCATATTTTATTTCACTATACTATTTTTGGAAGCAATCTAATAACCAAGCTAACTGAGCCATCAGACAGGTAGAAAGCGCCTGGGGACAAAAGAAAATAGCAAACAACATTGTCGGATCGATCAACCATCGGATTAATCTGCGTCAATACCAGTGTTCAGCGTTTTGTTTGTGTTTATGCGTCATGAATGTGAACACATTGCTATTTGTATTTCTGTGGACTTTTTCGACAGACTCATCACCTTTTACGAAATCCCGCAACGAGATCCCATCCTACGGATGTCATTAAGCCCCGGGTTCCGACGTCCTTCTCCCAACTCTACTTAAATGTTCTAGAAAACGGTGAAATTAAACTCCTCTCATGAAACCAAGTTATTGACGTGAAACAAGTGGGTGGCATCACCTTACTGAGTGACCATGTACGGGCAGTGTACCTTACTTTGAATCGTTTGGTTATTAAGGTCTCCAAATAAATGTTTGCTTTGCACCATTCAAACACGGTCCTAGTGCACGACTAGCAGAAATCTGCACTTGCACTTATCCTTTGCAGTGATCATTCAAAAGTAATTAAATGATTGAAGTATTTCGGGCGCTTGATCTCAGATAGAGGTTTTGTTGGGGAAAAGATCATATCATGCATGGTTAAAACTATAGCAGTTTTTGCCCATCTGCAACGCACGAAGCACAGCCCTAGCATCTGACTTTTCCCTTGGGTAAAAGTGTACATCGCAGCGGTTCGTAGCGTTTTGCTCTCTAGGTTGAGATTGTGAAGCTTTTTTTCTTTTTTGGAAGCATTGCTCGTGTTGAGCAATGATGTTGCCATCATGCTTGTTCGAAACCCGATAATTGACGTATGCTTTTATTCCTAAATTTTGTATGAAGCTTTTAAATTTCGGAGTCTCAGTCTGTCTCATTCCCACCCCACCTTTCCGATCGGATCTCATCTGTGTAGCCTTCGGTAGAGGAGTTGAACGCCGTGGCTGATCGAAAACGTGCGCAGACAGTGCGGCTTCTGGATATTCATCGGCGACGGCAATTACAACAGGTATGCGGGTCCTTTTTGTGTTCTATTTTGATGCAGGGACCCTCATGATCCTTACACATTCAACAGAATTATTCCTTACAGAAAGATTCTTTAGATGATGTTGAAAACGCGTTGGTTACGTACTGGTCTCATCCGAGTACACATTCCAAATTCGGGATTCTTTGTGCACGTACCACCACATACCGAAACAACATCATCCCTTATTTTGGTCGTGTCTTAGTAAACCGAGCAGTTAACATTACAAACCTGAAAAATCTCCTGCCATGTTAGCTTTTCAGCAGATCCATTTATTTTTCATTTTTTAAAAAGTTTGATGTTTCTTCTAATGTTTAACGTTTTCTTCACTGTACTTTATCGAACGTGCTGAAAATCCCCCCTATTGGGTGCATGAAGCTTGACTTTCCTTAACTCGGTTAAGTAAATGCTGCGGCAGTTCTTACAGTGCTACAAAAACGTGACCATCAGGAAAAAAAGATAAAGATGAACTGTTGGTGTTTGAACACCGCTGTCTACGCAGCATTGCACGGATCTGGAGGAGCAACCGAACAAGCAGTGCTGAGGCTAGGCGCAGAGTTTTAATTAGCCGCGGTTGATCGATCTTTATAGACTGCATTGGTTGTGACATGTATTACGCATGTCTCCGAATATATTGCCACGGTGCGCGTTGTTTGCAGGTGATGGATGAAAAACACCAAGGGCAGTCAAAATAGGACCCGTAAACCCTAACCAGGAGACTAGGTCACATAGGCCCCGTTAGGCTCCCTGGCTGGGGACCTCACCAGGAAACTGGGTCACATAGGTCTTGTTAGGCTCCCTGGCTGGGGACCTCGGGATGATGGTAGGAAACTGGGTCACATAGGTCCTGTTAGGCTCCCTGGCTGGGGACCTCGGGATGATCGTGATATGGTTAGAGACGCTGAGCGATATGGCTGGGTGTCGTAAACAGTGGCGTTCGTGCATCTCAATTTCTTTCGAAGATTAGTCTACTGAAATTCTCCATTTTATCTTCGACTCTACTTTCAACTTTCTGATCTTCCTTGTACCCTTTCATCCGAATGGGTAGTCATGAAACGGCAACCACAACCGTCGCATGAAAGGGTATGGTTAATGGTTAAACAGATTAGAAAACTTTAGATGGTGAATGTTTGGATTAGCCCACTCGGATTTTTCACAGGCACCAGGTACTGTTGCTGAGTTAATCCAAACATTCACCATCTGAATTGATTGATTCATGCTCATAAGGTGATAACCGTCGACCGTGTAGCTCAAGGTTAAGGATTTGAATTCCCAGCCTGAAGAATCGCGGTTCGAGTCCTGACGGGCACTGCTGACCAGTCCCAAACAGGGCGAAACAGCTGTCCAGTGCTCTTTGTTGGTTATCACAAACATTTTCATCGCATTTACATTAAAACATGTCTGGCGGATTGGTCATAGCATTCACGATAATTAATTATTCCGATTCAGAGGTGCAGGTCCTATTGGACCACCTGCGTTGAGTCCGACCACGCATTAGTTTTGATGCAGTTCACCCTTCGACCGACTGGCCGGCGATGAATTTAACAAACTGGAATAGCTGACCATCGACTATCTGTTCCAGCCGTTCGTGCATGCGATGAGTCAGACCTAGTGCGTGAGCTAAGCGCAAATCAACATAGTGATTTAGATGAGCAGTGGGAGCAGATTAGGCGAGCAATGCATTCCGCTGCGAATGTTGCTTGTGGGACTGTGCCTCAAGCCCAACGGAGGCACTGGATATCTGATGATTCTGTAGCACTGATGGATATAAAACGACAAATCCCGACCTGCCAGGATCAAAATAGAGTTAGGTGGCATCTGCAACGTCAGCTCACGAAGAGCCTCAAGAAGGACCGTGAGAACTGGTGGGCAACAATAGCTAGTGAGATGGAAGTAGCAGCTGCATCAGGGAATAGTCAAAGACTGTTTCGACTGATACGCAATACGGGAGGTCGGCGAACTCCAGTTAGTGAAACAGTTTGTGATAAGAGCGGACAAGCTATTCACAATGGGGATCCACGACTGGATCGCTGGGTAGAGTATTTCAGCGAACAGTTCAACTGGCCTAGTGCCAACCAGGCTGCTTCATCTACAACTGAAGCTCCGTGAGCAGTGTCATGCGATCCTCCAGCAGAAGCAGAAGTTCAAGTCAAGTCAAGTAAAGCTTTATGCATCCGATAGGATGAATTTTCAGCATTTTCGACAAGTTACAGTGGGGAAAAAGGTAAGCATTGAAAAAGAAAAAGTAAACATTTACTAAATGTAAAACAAACGGATTAGATAAAATCCTAATGTGACAGACAATTGTTCAAGTCAGTAATAGTATTTGCTCGGTTGACCAAGATACGAGCAAAATAAGGGATCATGCTGTTTTTGTGTGTGGTGGTGCGTGCACAAAGAATCCGAAATTTGGAACGGGTACTCGAATGAGATACCGATTTATTGATGGCAGTGCAAGCAGTGTTCTTCATTGGACAGGATATGGCTGATAAATCGATCGCATGAATCAAAGTGCTCGCTCACAATAAATTCAACTAAAACAGTCTTTGAAATGCCACTGCAACGATAAAGAAGTTTAAGAGATCTGGAAAAAAGAATGAAGTCTTTCTCCTTCAGACCAGGAAAATATACGGGGGAACAGTACAACCAATGTGGAAGAATGCATGCAGTCAAAAATTTACGAATTACGTTTAAGGGAACGCTGAACTTCTAAGCCTAAAAGCGTAGAAGGATAGTCTACGAACCCGAATATCAACGTTTTCAACATGTTTGGACCAAGAAAGATTGTGTGACAGAGTGACTCTAAGATATTTGACAGAGTTAATTTTGGGGATGGTATTACCACTAACAGGAAGTTCAGACTGTTTGCTCACAAGGCTTTGATAAGGCATGCCTGTTTTAAGGCTAGATGAAACATCCACACATTTATGTACATTTAGCAATAAAGATCGAGAAGTCGACCAACTAAAAATGTTATTTAGATAAACTTGAAGTTGACAGAAATAATCAGGAACAGTCGAGGGACAGCCGACCACCACGTCATCAGCATACATACAGGCGATAAAGTTGGGAGGGATGGGAAGGTCCATAATATACAGTGAAAAAAGAAATGGAGACAAAATTGCACCCTGAAAAACTCCAGAGTTAACTTCTAGCAGGAACGAAGATTTACCGTTACAAAAAGTATATTGCGTCCGATAAGTGAAGTAATTAATTAGTACATTCAGTATATTAGGTGCTAGACCACAATCCGAAAGACTGAATGAAAATGCCGCGGTCAAGTGATTCGAAAGCATTAGCATAATCAAGAAAAGTTAAACGGAGGATGCCAGCCCCTTTATTCAATAAGGATGAAATGGAGTGAACAACGTGAGCAACAGCATTAAGAGTGGAGAGCGAACGTTTGTATGGAAACTGAATAGGGTCATGGGTGACAGATAAAAGGGTCAGCCGGTTAAGAAGGACTCTTTCGAAAGCTTTCAATCATGCTGATGTGCAGGCTATCGGCCGAGATTTAGAGGATCCTTTTTTGGGAATCGGGGTTATCCGAGCAGCTCTCTAACAATCAGGGATGCTTCCAGATGACATACACAAATTGGACAACTCGGAAATAGATGAAGCAAGTTGTTCAGCACACTCGGTAGGTAGGGGGACAACGAATCAGGGCCATGTGCCTAATTAGATTTAAGGCACTTGATTACATTCAGGACTTCCACAGGGGTGACAGATTGGTTCTCCCCAGTGGATATAAATAAAGATGGCGTTGAGTTCCTTATAGCAGCATTTGCGAATTGACGGTTTAGCTCCTCAACATCCGGAAAAGATCTGTTGCGTGATCCACAGAGCTGCTTCAAAGCAGACCATATATCACGGCAGCTCTGGTTTCCCATAAGAGTTTCTATATATGTCCAATTTAGGCGCTGTATCTCCATTTTGATCAATAATGATAGTTGTTTGACAGCACTGCACCTTCCAGTCCTGTAGGCCTTTTCTTTATCACGACGAAGCCGTTTTAGAAGAGGCGAAGAGAATCTGTCAGTTCGAATGTATAAGGTCTCGCATGGGCAACACAGATCATAGCAGAAATTAAGATAAGATGTAAGATGCTCACAACTGGAACAGTTGTCAGCGTTGGCAAAGACAGTGAAATCGGTAGACGAAACCATATCTTCAAGTTTGAATAAATTTTCAGGAGTGCGACTCTCCTTCTGATGGTTCTGGATGTGGAACGGTTCACATGGTGCTGAAATTTATCGTATTTACCGTATATATTTACCGTAATCAAAAAATAGCAGTGATCGGAGCTACCTGTGGGAGCCCGCTTCTCAATGAAAAATACTTCGGGGCTATTTACGAAAATCCCGTCAAGTTGAATACCAAACCGGGTAGGAAAATTTACAAGATTCTTAAAGCCTAAAGTTGTAAAGAGAGATATATTCAAACGATTAAAATCACCAGCAACAATGCATAAAGGCCGGTCTAAACCGGTTATAAGTTGTGAAGAGAAGGAGTCGACAAACAGACAAATATCAGAGACCGGCGTGTCGGTAGCGATGTTCACTAATGTTATATGATGAAAGTGACTGATAAGTCGGGGCTTACAACAAACAATTAACAAGAATACCATTTATCTTGGGAGTATTATATGGAAAACATTTACGAGCGTTCAGTCTTGCATTGAAGCTCTAAAGCAAGGAAAGACAGCAGGACCGGATGAGCTCCCTCCCACTCTTTTCAAAAAGAGTGGTGATAACGTCGTAAGCTCAATTACTGCCTGCCTGTTCGAATGTATGGGGGACGCGCAAAGCGCACTTGATAGATTAACAAGTGCAGTAGCCACATTCGGTATGTGCTTTGCACCTTCAAATTGCAAAGTAATGCAGCAGGACTGGGGTTTCGTCTACTCCCGCTCTGAAACTGAATGGTCAGGATTTACTTGTGGTGGATTACTTTTCCTACTCAGGCAGTTACGTGACCAATGACGGTAGTGCAGCAAAGGGGATAACCGTCCGCATTTCCAAGGCTCGAGCAGC